ACATGACCCAGCCAACGCAGCCTTGCCTGCCAGAGGAGCTCACCGATGGGATCTTGCCCAGATCTTTCAAGGATTTGTGAGCTCCTCACACAATCCAGCCTGGTTAAACCCAGGATGGATCGTAGGCAGGCCAGCCTAAATGTTTCCAACCGGCGAAGATGCTCCGTTAAGGGGGTCCACGTTTCGCAAGCGTAGAGAAGGGAGGGAATGACCGTGGCCGAGAAGACATGAAGCTTAGTGCGGAGCGACAGACCAGGTAGCTTCCACACAGCGTTACGCAACCGATGAAAAGATAATGCCGCTCGACTGATTCGGAGTGAGACCTCTGCTGTTAAACTGGAGCCAGTCATAAGCACACTGCCTAGGTATGAAAAACTCTCCACTCTCTCCACAACTGCCCCATCACCGATTGGGAGTTGTGGGGATGGAGTGTCCGATGGTACAAAATACCCAGGCAGGTGCTTAGTTTTGGTGGGGCTGATGGTAAGGCCCCATCTCTTAGTGGTACGCTCCAGTCTCAGCAGCAGCGTCTCCAACTCCTCCTCTGAATGAGCACCTATTACCAAATTATCGGCATACATAACGTGGTTGAGCAATAGGGAGCCATCCCTTGACCGCACCCGGGCATCGATCAGCCTCCCATTATATCTGTACCATATGGAGATTCCCCCGGTACAGCTATTGAAGGCTTCACGAACTACGTGGTCAAAATAGATGTTAAATAATGTGGGAGCCAGAGGACATCCCTGTCGCACCCCAAGGTGTACAGGGAATGGCTCTGACTCCCAGCCACGTAGTTTTACCTGGGCCTGCTCACCATCATGAAGGTCCTTAATGATCGTGAGCAGAGGGTCAGGGACTCCGAAAGCACAAAGAACAACCCAGAGCCCAGGTCTACTGATGGTATCATAGGCCTTGACCAGGTCAATAAAGCAGAGATGTACGTCTTGCTGGAATTCCCTACACCTCTGCTGTAGCAGACGGACAGAAAATATGGCATCTGTGCAGGACCGCCCTTTCCTGAAACCGCATTGTGGCTCCGCAAGCCTCTCCTCAGCGTTCCCGGCAAGGCGATGTTGAATAATCCTTGCCAGGACCTTTCCCGGCACACTGAGGAGTAAGATACCCCTGTAGTTGTTACAGTCTGTGCGGTCTCCCTTAAAGAGAGGGACCACCAGGGCATGCTTCCAATTCTGCGGAACCCGTCTAGTGGTCCAGACTGTTATGATGTCATATAGGGCAGTCTGTGCACAAACGCCACCCTCCCTCAGCATTTCACTTGGGAGATCATCTCTGCCTGGTGCCGTTCCTGGTCTCAGACTCTGGATCGCCTTCAGTACTTCCTCAACAGATGGCACCTCAGCCAGCCAATCACAGGGGGTGACTTCCTCCAATATTTGCGGCACCGCAGCCTCAGCAGGGTCATCCCCACTTTGTGCCACGATGTTTTCCTGGCTGAGGGATTTCCCCACCCCCAGGACCTCACAGAAATACTCAGCAAATCTGCAAACCTGTTCCTGGGGGTCGGAGATTGGATCACCGTTTTTTCCCCTAATGATGGTAATAGGTGTGGCGCTGCAGGTTGCTTTTTTGATGGAGTTAAATAGAGATTTGTGATCGCGGGCCACTGAGACAGACTCCATCTTCTCAGCAACCCGCGACCACCACCCATCCCTGCAGTGCCTCACGGCTCTCCGAACCTCCGAGCGAAGGTTGCGGTAAGCCTCCTCATTCTCTGATGTGGGATTCTGTATCCGATGACAGTGGGCCTGTCGCTTTTTCTCAACCATCCTGAACACCTCCTCTGTCAGCCAGGGTCTCTGGGGAGGTCTGGACCACGTACCCAAAGCAGCCATTGCAGCTGCATGAGTCACATTTCTAAACCTCGCCCATTGACCCTCGACATCAGGAGGAGTGGGGGACGATGCCAACCCCAGCCGCAAGCGATGATGAAATTCTCGCTTGCAACTTTCATCAGATAACTGAGACCAGGCCACTTTAGGTTTGAATGGGGTCCTGGGTGTCCACCCACCACCGGAGTGGAAGAATGGCAGGCGCATCTTACAGATGGCCAGTCAATGGTCAGAGGGCATATCAGCTCCACGGTAGGTCCTGGTGTCAAGGACATGTGCTCGCATCCGCTGGTCCGTCACTATGTAGTCCAGCAGATGTTCTTGCTTGGACCCGGCATGCATCCATGATGTTGTGTGGATGCGCCGATGCCGGAACAGCGTGTTGGTAATTTCAAGCCCATGGGCTGCACAAAAATCTAGCAGCCTCCTACCGTTGTTATTGAGCTGATCTGGCCCATGCCCTCCAATCACTCCAGACCAGGTGCCAGCATCATGACCAACTCGGGCATTGAAGTCACCCAACAAGATGACTCTATCCTGCGGGGCCACTTTAGCCAGCACCTATGACAGGAGGTCATCTTCGGTGGGGGCATAAGTAACCACGACCACCACTCCTCGCCTCCGGTTGATGGGAAGGCGAGCCCAAAGTAAGCTGGGGCTTACAGCTTCCCACACCTCACCGCCACGCTCCCACGCCCCCTTCATTCTTTTGTTCAAAACAACCCCCAACCTCCTCGCGGTGCCGGACGGGAAACTCTGTCGTGGACAGTGCTGTGGGGGGAGGGCCAATTCCGTTTGTCCCCTCCTCTCATGGCGTCTGTGACCACCACAGTGGCTAAACGGGGGCTCTGGACGGGTGCGAGGTGCTGGTAACCCCTCCGCCTTCAAAAATTTACCACGAAACCACGACTGAAATATGTAACTAATAAGCTTGTGCCGGAGGCCCCGGGGGGACAGGCGTCTATGACGTCTCCTGGCCAAACCCCAAATTGGCGGAGCCAGGAGATTGAATCTCTACCCTCGGGGCTCCTCCAGAAACAACGAAAAACCACTACGGGTGGCCACGTGGAATGTTCGAACGCTCACTGCGAAGGAGAGGCTGCCACTCCTCTGTCGGGAGCTGGACCGGTACCGCCTGGATCTCTGTGGCATTCAGGAGGTCCGGTGGACTGGTTCTGGCTCCTGCCACCATGAGGGGTGGACAGTCCTCTACTCGGGGCAGGAGACTGCCAAACAACAGGGTGTGGCTCTTCTTTTGAAGACACACCCACACAGACACACACACACAGACACACAGACACACACACATATACACATACACAGACACACATGCGTCGAAGGGGGGGGAGATGGAGAGAGTTTTAGAATTTCAATTCGTGTGGGTCTCTGTGGGTCTCTACGATTCTCTACAGGTCTCTGTGGGTCTCTATGGATCTCTGCGGGTCTCTGTGGGTCTCTACGAGTCTCTATGGGTCTCTGTGGGTCTCTATGGGTCTCTATGGGTGTCTATGGGTCTCTGTGGGTCTCTATGGGTCTCTCTGGGTCTCTATGGGTCTCTGGGTCTCTGTGGGTCTCTATGGGTCTCTGTGGGTCTCTATGGGTGTCTATGGGTCTCCATGGGTCTCTGTGGGTCTCTGTGGGTCTTTATGAGTCTCTGTGGGTCTCTGTGGGTCTCTACGAGTCTCTATCGGTCTCTGTGGGTCTCTATGGGTCTCTATGAGTCTCTGTGGGTCTCTGTGGGTCTCTACGAGTCTCTATGGGTGTTTATGGGTCTCTGTGGTCTCTATGGGTCTCTGTGGGTCTCTATGAGTCTCTGTGGGTCTCTGTGGGTCTCTGTGGGTGTCTATGGGTCTCTGTGGGTCTCTGGGTCTCTATGGGTCTCTATGAGTCTCTGTGGGTCTCTGTGGGTCTCTATGAGTCTCTATGGGTCTCTATGGGTCTCTGTGGGTCTCTATGGGTGTCTATGGGTCTCTGTGGGTCTCTGTGGGTCTCTGTGGGTGTCTGTGCATCTCTCTGGGTCTCTGTGGATCTCTATGGGTCTCTGTG